CATTGATTACACTGCTGTGCAGATACACACTAAAGATGGGGATACAAAATGGTGTGTCTAGGACCACTTTGTAGATGTCTTTAGTAACACTAAGCTCATTTAAGATGTTTAGCTAGCTAGATCCCATCTCATGCGTCCTGCTAAACTTAATCCAGCTCAGACTGGAAAGGCTATTCTATGATACTCCAATGGTGAGATCCATGCTTACTGTAGTGGCTGGTGGTATGTTTGTCAGTATTTATTTGAGAAGGTGTGGAGCTGGTACCACTGCTCTCTGGTTTCTTGTGATCAGGATTCATATGGCCAGTCTTGTATGTGAGAAGGTTTGTTTTGCTCATCCAAAGGGCACAGACTGGTACCATTTGGTGTTTTTTTTCTTGTTACACAAAAGGAAAGTCATTTTTGGTTGAAGAATGTATTTGTACAAAACACCCATCTCTTGCCAGTTGAAAATTCAGGAGGAAGAACTGAAATTTCCAATAAGGTTTTTATATAGCTTTTTAGTCCTCACTGTTTCTCATGTTTATTTAATATACAGAAGGATAATGATCCTGGTGACATTAAGAGAAGCAGTTTTAGACTATGGCGAAAAGATTACTGGAAGAAGTTGCAAAGGAAATGTGAAGCAATGTTCATTGATATGTGGATTACAAAAAGCATCTTGGACAAGAAGGTCTAGAATCTGACTGGGCCCAGCAGATCCAATGTATCATTTCAAACATCGCGGGGTAGAAAGAACATGGAAATGTCTCCCTTAAGATCTCCTTATGCCTTGTCTCATCTATCTCCCTTCTGCCTCTCCCCTAACACACACCCCACTGACAGCCCACCTCTGTTCCTGCTTTCAGACAAGGAACTGCAGCACCTAATCCTTGTTCTTTTTCCTTTCGACAAGCACCAGGGTATATTCATCAAGGAATGTGCTTTAGCTGGAGACAGCATCACATGGTTTGGATTGCCACCCAGCATTTCTCCTTCAGCACTGGGAGCTGAGCAGCCAGACTAGGGATCTTGCAACACCCTGGCACAGGAGATGCCATCTACCAAATGTCCTCCTGAGTGGTGTTCTAGTAAGTGGGCGAAAAAGCTAAAAAGAACATTCTGTACATGGCAGCTGAAGTCCATCATAGCTTGCTTACAAGATTCTTATGCTGGAGGGAGGCTTGGGCAAGTAGCCAATAAGTGTCTCTCACTTGCCCATGTTTCCCTTTGGAAACAGGGATTCCTAGCTTAGTGTGGCCAGAGACATCTCTAGGGAGCAGGATGGAACCAGGGAGCATTGGCATTCACCAATCAGAGGTGCAGCCTGCCCAAGTGGATGCTTACTCATTATAGAGTTATTCTGGGCCTTTTGGTCCATCTTGATTTCTTTGAGGTTACTGGTGTAAGTGCCATCAGCCCAAAAAGCAACAGATCTCCTGTATTCCTTTATGCAAGAGCAAACAGGCATCCCGGGAAGAGAGAAATAAGAAGGGAAAGTGGCTCCATCCTTTACTTTCCTGCCTTCTGCCCTCATCACCCCTTCCTTGTTACTTGTCCATCCATTTCTTGTGCCTCCAAGAAGACACTTCTGCTCCAGGACATGGTTGTTCTTGGAGCTGTGGGGGTCACTGGGGCTGAGCCCTTTGCCTCTAAGGAGGGCAAAGCTGCTGAGGTCCAGCTTCTTCCTGATGTCATCATGTGATAGCTAATTAATTACCTCCCCATGTTTCCATGGCAACTTCATGCTGTGCTTTTAGCCCTGATCCAAATGGACATTCTGCACACTTCTGAAGCTGTAGCATCAGCATATTAATAAGACTCACTGACGTCCTTTGCTTTCTGCCACATGGCTGCTAAATCTAATTTTGAATGACTTAAAAAAAGCAATTTCTTAGTAAGCTCCCAGTGCATTCTCTCATATGACTTGAAGAAACTGATCCCAGAAGTCTTCTGCATTTGAAGGGAAGAAGCAGGTAGATTCTGCTTTACCTGCTGCTTTTGCCATGCTTTGACTTTGGGGCAGCTGGCATCTAGCTTTCCTTTTTTATTCTGGGTTATTTGGAAGCTCCAGCTTTCATGCAGTCCTTAATTTAATTACAGCAAGGGACAAGTACCTTCTTGTATTAGCTGAACTGGACAATCTTATGGATTAGTCCCTAACTCCTTGTACAGAGGGAGGAAGCTGAATTTCAGTCTTCTACCAGTCAGAGAATGGTTACTCATATTTCAAAGTACAAATGTCTCTTTTATCATTAAACTCTATAACAATACCTACCGATCATGCAGTTCAGTGAATCTGGGTTTATTGGCGAAAGGATTCTCTGAGCTCCACTTAATTCTCCTCTATTAATTATGCTCCATTCTAGTCACTGACTGGCTGTAAACTATCTTTTTCTGACCAAATGGAGGACTTAGATATAATTTCCTTTTAAGCCCATTAACACCACTACAGCACTGGTGTGTCCTCTCTAGGGGGATCTCAGCTTTCTGTTATCAAGAAATATGCCAGATGCCTCCACGTCTTCTATTGACTGCACAGATAACCTAAAACAAACCTTTGGGGTCTGAGTCTGGATCTGGCTGTCACAGACTGTTCCTTTACCTGGGGAAGGGCTTAATGTGGTATTGGCACCCAATGTCTTATGTTTTATTGTGTTGCCCCCTTTCTGAAGCCCAGTAATACTCAGGGCTGATCATCCCAAAGCATTAGTGACAATATATGAGAGCAGTTGATTTGATCCCTAACATTCCCACAGATATGGGGCAAGATTTAGCTAATGTATTGCTAGTTACCCACGAGATCTGAGATTTAATTGCAACTTCTTTGGCTTCCAGTCATGGGAGCTCTATACTTATCTCATAGGAAAGCAATTGATCAAATTAATTTCATTTTGTGTTAGCACGGTCACTGTTCCCAGCCATGAAGGAATCTCATTGAATTCAGAATGCATCTTAGGCTATAGGTTTCTCATAAGCAGTATTCAGTGTTTTTAGAGCAATAACTATAGTTCTTTTCAGTGTCAGCTCTTTGGGTCATACATGTAAATTAAACAGTACGTTTCTATTCCCTGCTTGGATAGATGTAGCTGTCAGGAACATTATTTCCACTCATAATTACAAATCTGACATTCATCTCCCATGAATAGTCTCTACTATTTGCTTAAAACTAAGTTCCATGCATACTCTTGCTGGTGACTTTTATCAGAAATCTTGACACAGGAATGGCGCAACTATAAAGGAACCTCTTTGACTGGTGGGGAAGCACAAACCTCTACTGCACAAAGCAAAGACCAACCAAAGGAAAATCAATCAGACAAACAAACTGGGAAAAGTGCAACCTGTTGCATGGACTGACTGGTAGAGAGAGAAAGATAATGCAAGTTAGGGAAAACACAAAGTTACTACTGATGGAAATCAATAGATGTCCCTAGAAACATTTTTGTTATAACAGATGCATGCATTTCACCACCTTTTGGCAGACGGACAAGGACTAATGTGTGCTTATGTGGCTAGGATTCCTTTTTGCTTTCTTACAGCCTACCCAGATAGTTTCTTTCATGCCCCCATTGCTGGTTCAGCAGAAGATTTCAGTGAATGTGTATTTTTCTCAAGGTATCCAATTCCTCCTCAGGAAACTTGGATGAGCATCAACTGAAACCACACAAATTAAACTAAACCTGAAGCCAAACTGAATTGTCTAAATCCCTGCTGTCACATGAATAACACCACAATGCATTTAGCTCGTTCCATCTTTCTGATGCTATTCTCAGAATTGGAGCCAAAGACCTCAAAGAAAGAAGGTCGAAGTTTCTACAAGACTCCTGATCTCAATTAAATCAACCTGTTAAGTCTTAAGCCAGATCTGAGTTTTGGACTTCGGATCAGAACTATCCATCCTGCTCAAGCATGGTTTTCCCTGGGATCATAGAATCACAGAATAGTTAGGGTTGGAAAGGACTTGAAGATCATCGAGTTCCAATCCCCCTGCCACAGGCAGGGACTCCTCACACCAGCCCATGTCGCCCAAGGCTCTGTCCAACCTGGCTTTGAACACTGCCAGAGTAAGAGTCAGAGAAACACCCTACTACTCACCTCCAACTGTGTTCAGGCTTCATTACCCAGCTCAGATTATCCTACATTCAAATGTTCCATTTGATGTATTATTTGTTTTAAATCCAAACACACACAAACACACACTCCACAACATTTTACCCACCTTTTAGTTATTTTAGTTGCTCTGTTTGATAACTCTCTTTAATTTGTCTTTATCCTTGCAGATTCAGGGTCTATTTGGTTATTGTGCTTTTCCTTCCCACCCCTCAGTTTTAATGCTTTTCCAGGTATCTTAATAAGATTTTCTCATCTGTTTTCTGGACTTACATTTTTAGACAAAGAAAGTGTAAGTGACACAAGGATTTCATTCACAGCCATGGAAACATAAGAAAGTAAAAGGGCTTTTTCCTTCCCCAAATAAAAAATGGACATGTGCATCTTTTAATGCCTCTAAGTTTCCTTGGAAATGTGTTATCTGGTGCTTTGGTGTTTGTGGTGATAAAGGTTTCCCAGCGTTACTGGAAAACTCAGAACCTGAGGCAAAAAGCCAAATGTATGTTTGCCTTTAGGTTTGTCAAAGTGGCGTAGGATTTTGGCTTTCTCTGGTTTAGGGACTCTTGAAATACCTTAAAGATGAGTACCTGAAGATTTACAGGTGCTGGTCCTCCATGGGTTAAGCTCTGGCATCACTGAAGTCAGCAGCATCTGATGCAAGGCATGAACCAAAGTAACCAAAGGGACCAGATCCCATTCTTCAGCAAATGCTGAGACACTACCTCTGGTGAAAAGCTTTCCAAGGTGGAAATCCCAAAGTGAAGCCACCTGAGAGCTGCACCCACCCTCCACCTCTTACATGTCCTCTCACCAATGAGGCATTAGTGTTCCTGTCATAGGACTGCCATCACCTTCTGTCCTCCAGCAAAGCTCAGCAGAGGCTGTGTGAATAACTCCACATAAAGCTGGCATAAATCTCAACAGAAGAAATATCTTTTATCTTTCACCATTTACTCCCACTATAGGAATAATGGTAGCTCTTTTACATTTACATATAACTCTTGTTTGATTCTTTGCTTTGATTGGTTTTGTCTCTTTGTCTTGGCACCTGCATAGCAGAAAACTTTACAGTTCATTACAGAAGATTACCCCTCCCTCTGCTCCTCCCTTTATTTACTCTGCTGCCCCTAAGGAGTAGCAAGCAACACCCCCAAGGTCAAGAGAGAGTAAGGTGTTCCCCTTTTATGACGGATTATAGAAATAACAAACATGCCTGACAGTTTTATACAGCTGCTAGAATGGGCTTAGTTTTTCAACAAATGAAGAATTTCCTCTTTTCTTTTCTCTTCTGTATATTAATTACATTTTACAAATCTCGGGTTTCCCCATTACTTTCCCCCCACTTTTCTTCCTTTTTAATTTTTCCTCTTTTTATTTCTTTTTTCTCTCTTTTATTGTACTTTTTTTTTTTACAGCAAAAGGATCAATCACCAACATGTCCATGGAAAAGTCCGGGTTAGCAGAGTTTGGCTGTCATCTGGTCCGACTGTTTGAGGATCTCGGTGTTGTACAGGTCTAGAGCATGGTTCACGCGGATGATCTCACTGTTGGTGAGTTTCAGGCGGTGCTTGAGCATACAAGAGAACAGATCCAGCTGGGGCTTCCCCGGGGCCACAGGAGGTGCCAGTCTATTGATTCGGTCCCGAATATCCAGCAGCAAGAGCATGACAGAGGAGGAAGAATAGAACTGCCCGCCTTGCGTGTAGGACTGGTTGACCTGCTGCACAGCACTGCGCAGTAGGTCGGCGTTAAAACGCAGGCTGTAGCCATACACCTGCACATCTGAGATCTTGATGTAGAACTGGCGCTTGGTGGGGTCAGAAAGGTCCACAGGCCCTTGGCCAGTCTCATTACGCAGTAGAGAGGGCAGCCGAGTCCGGCTGCGTAGGTAGATGTGGACAGTCTCAAAAAAGGTTTTCCACCGGTTGCCCAGTAGCAGGGTCCAGTTGTAGCACTGGCTGTTTTGGAGGCGGGTTTTCTCCCAGCGTGGGTAGCCGTACTCCCCAAAGGGCATGTTCCAGCCCTCGGAGTGACTCCCGCTGAAGGGGTTGACATAGACAAAGAACATAGGGTCCAGGCTGCTGTTGCGCATCTGGCAGATTCGCATGGAGATCCCGATCACCATGTGGATGAAGTCCATCCGGTTCTTGTTGCTCTTCAAGGTGAGGGACATGCGTTTGCGCCACCTGGGGTCGAAGAAGGTGTCCAGGCGGATCTCGTTGCTGATGAAAGTGGTGTGCACATACAGGCGAGAGTCCATTTTCTGCAGCAGGTACTTCAGCTCTAGGTCTTGGAAGTCCAAGTCTGTCTCAAAGCTGATGAACTGCTCGCTCCGCTCCGAGTCTACATTCTGAGGCTCGCAGCGACCCCGGTAAAGCTTATAGCCCTTGTTGCATGAGCCACAGAGAGAGATGTTGGCAAGGCTGCACATAGCACAGCTGTTGTTGCCTCCGATGATGCAAGGGATGGGGCGCTGGCACAGGCTGGTGCCACCGTGGCAAACGCAGCTCCGTTGGCTTTCCAGAAAGGTCCCCCAGAACCCATTCTCATTGCAGTAGAGCAGAGACTGGACCCGCGTAAGCCATTCCTGTATTGTCCTGCAAGTAGGAAGAAGAAAGCCATTAGCATGGTAGAGTTTCATAGAGTGTTATTGGCATCTTACTAGAACCACAGTGTTTTTAGGGATTCATCTGAAGCAGAGCTCTAGGAACATTGATGCCCTAGATTTAATCATTCATCTGCTGTTTAATTCCTTGGTGGAGTTCACAAGCCCTATAAGAAATAGCTGGAAGTTAGAATTGATCAACTGAAGTCTCTCTCTTCATGCTGCTCTAGGAGCTGAGACTGGCACAGTCTCCTGCCAAGGATCTCATCAGTTCTACAGTGACAGATTTCAGCCATAGGAATAGAGCTGATAAAGCCACGCCAGAGGCTGAGGTGCTATCAGAGATCACAGGTCAGCACAACTCCTAGGCTAGCAGGAGAAAACTCCCCTCCATGGCACTGGCAATTCCTGCATTCTCCAATGTAATGGGATGAGGCAAAGCCAATGGTAACCTCTGCTTACAGTGCAGAGCTCAGGAATAGCAGAAAAGAGGGTGGAAGTCAGGGTGCATAGAGACAAAGCTGCTAAAACAGTCTGCCTTTTAAAAGTCCACTGATAACTGACCACCTCTTCTCTGTAAAACAGTTATACTTGCCCATCCTCAGGCCCCATCACTCCCCAAACTGCTCTATCAGCATCCTCCCCTCCCATCCTGCAGCCCTGGAACAACTCCTGTTGAATAACACTGTAACCCACGTTTGCCTTTGTATAAGTCCCTTGCTATGTTGCCTTGTGGCCCCTTCTTCCCCCTTCCCACTGCCCCGGGGAAATCTCAGCACAGCGACTCCTTTCTCAGCAGCCTTCAGCTGAAGGCCTTGTTCAGCCACCCTCTCCCTCCCTTTCCTCCACCACCCCCCAGCTAATGAATACTTCATTGTCTCCTCTGGGCAAGAAGTTCTTGGTAGTGCTGCAGTGAGAGGACTGACTAATGACAAATTAGGATTCAGTCCCTGTAGAACAGGAGGAGTGATTATGGACAGAGGCTCTCAGAGCTGGATTAGAGAAATTCATGGCACCTGCATCGCCTGACCTCCGAATAATCATTAAGCTGTAGGCTGTATCAAAGAAGGCATTAAATGATACAGCAGCAAAGAACAGCAAGATGATTAGGGGGAGGGAGCGAGTGAAGGGATGAGAGTGGAAACAGAGGAAAGCACTGGAAGGAAAGAAGTAGTCAAGGGGCAGAAGCAGAAAGGGTGGGGGGGAAATGCAGCTAGGAGGAAAAATGAGAGAGAAATACCACAGGCGGGAGGAATAGGCATAGAGAAAGGAGGAAACTGAAACAGCAGCAACAACTGAAAGACAGGACAGGCAGGAATGAAAAGAAGCAGGAAGAAACTGAGTGAAAGGAAAATAATTAGTGAGGAAAAAGGCAGTGAATTAGCAGGAAAATTGTGAAGCCTTGAATGTAGGAACAGTCAACTTTCACATTCCTCCTGTGATACAGGGCTGCCTGGGTCTTTTTCCCTATCCACAGCTAACAGGAGCTCTCCTGCTAATGGAAAAGACAAAGTTGGATGGGGAGCTTGGTAGCAAGGCAGTGACACCTATAAATATCTGCTGCAGAGGGAGACGGCAACAGTCCTGGTCCCTAGAAGTGCACGTCTCCTCCTGGTCTCTAGGACAGCTCTGCTTCAGCAGGGAGAGACAGCACAGCACAGTGTGTCTGCAAAACACATTGCTGACAGCAACAAGCACCCTCCAAACCATCCCCTGGGGGCTGGACTCTGCCTTCTGCTCATCAGTGAATTTTTTCTCACTTTCCCAGCAATACAAATATTTTTTACCCTATCTGAAGCCTCACAGTTCCTGTTTGGAAAGTGCCAAATGCACTTGAATTCAGCAAGGCACCCTGATTCCACATTTCAATCTCCCTAAGGTGCTGTGAACCCACCTCAATTCCTCCATGCACCTCCTTGAAAGCTTCTTTCTTTACTTCTAAGCAATCTAAGCCTGGAGCTAGAGAAGCATAAGCAAGAGGAGAACAAACTAAAACCAAAGCAACCCTCCAATATATACACACAGGCTGCCTGGGGTCACTGGGTTAGGGGAACTGCTGAAGGGAAGCACAAGGTTCCTGCATGCTGCCTCTTCCCATTGTTGGGCTTGATGGCAGTGATGAAAATCAGAGATTGCTTTGAAGGGAATATCTCCTGCAGCCCCAGACTTCATCCCTAGCTCCCACTTCCAATGTAAATTATACTAAGACAAGGAGAAGCCCAGGAGCACAAAGGAAATGAAGAGCTGAGCCAGAGAGCTGGTGGCAGAGAGGTGGTAAATGTCCAGCTCCATCAGGTACTCTCTTAGCATCCCTAGCCCTGTCTATAAGGTAAGGGCAGTATTTCCCTCATATCTATAGCTCTCCCCATGGCCACATTTGTTGCTTTTTGTGGGACTGGGTTTCCAGATGAGGTAGCAATGGCTGCTCATAGGCCTAAGGGTGGTTTCTGAGATGGGTTTGATGAGGTATTATCAGAGTTGTGCTTCTGTACATGTGCTGCCACCACTTTCATACAGCTGCCAACAGCCTCATACAGCTGCGTATGCAAATGACAGCCAAACACAGGCTGAACAACTACCATGCCCAGATCCCAATTCCAGCTCTGTGCAGGTGAACTCAACTGTCCTGATTTCCTCTTGCATAGGATTCCCAGCATATTTGTGCAGTGCTGGCTCAATGCTTTACACAGGTTTGACATGTTGATAATACCATTGAGTTCACGGGACAAGGACTTCAGGGGGCACAATAAAAATTGGAGCCAGCTGATCACATCCTGTCTGTCTGAGGGGAAAAAAAACTCTATCGTTCCATCCCTCTCTTACACTAACAGGGGAATCTCAGCTGATATCTTGCAATCAAAACCAGTTATTTTCCTCTTTCCCAGGTCCACTTTGTGGAGGAAGGATGGGAGGAGATCAAGAGAAAGAGGGCTGAGGTTTTTTTTTGGTGGATATATATGTCTTAGCACTCAGCAAAGACACAAGTAGGACAAAAAAAAAAAAAGGAGCCTACCAACCATCTGCTGATGGCAGCAATAAAGGATGTAATTAAATGAAAATGCAGCATCCAGGGCAGAGCTGGGCATCGGCTACAAACATGACAATGGGAAGTGTGAGAAAATGAGAGAGAGGAAAAGTGGTATAAATTATCCCATTTTGTCTTGTAACTGGGGCAGGATAAGAATATATGGAGACTCAGTCACAGCCCTCGATCTGACAGGAGGTAAACTTCCTAAGACGCATCCCTGTGATGGCTCAGCTTATGTGAATATAACCAAGGGATGTCAGGGCAGAAGGAAGCTGGAAAGACCTACTTTAAAAGCTAAAAGCCAGCAGCAGAGAAGCCATTGGTTTACATTTTAATTATTTTCTTTTTCATTAAAATGTCACTGGTTTATCTTTCTCCCTCTTCATATCATTGCAAATGTTATTTTGCCTAATATTTGCTACCTCTGCTAGTTCAAAGTGTAAAGTACCAGAGCATGTGGAAGTGAAAAAAAGGGAAACTAAGTCTTCAAAGGTCACTGTCAAGCAATTTTGCATTCAGCTTTAATATCTTACATTCCAAAACTAAAATGAAAAAGAACTACATCCAGGGAAAGTGGTGACTGAGAGTTATTTTGTTGTATTTTCTTGCTGGTGCTCACTGGAGACATGCAAACATCACATAGAATGGTTTGGATTGGAAAGGACCTTAAAGCTCATCCAGTTCCAATGCCCTGCCATGGGCAGGGACACCTTCAACTAGAGCAGCTTGCTCCAAGCCCCTATGTCCAACCTGGCCTTGAACACTGCCAGAGATGGGGCAGCCACAGCTTCTCTGGGCACCCTGTGCCAGCACCTCAGCATCCTCACAGGGAAGGCCCCTGGCAATGGTGGGAATGGGGAGCCAGGTAACCACAAAGAGCTGTTTCACCATTTAAAACCTATGTGTTGTGCCAAAAAGGACATGTTTTGCAGGCCAGTGTCAGGTTATACCAAAAGGTGATGAACAATTTTATTTCCTCCTGACTTCAGGATGAATCAGGTCTGGGGAGGGGAAGAAGCTGATGGGTGACCCTTGAGGCAAAGCTACCACTTTGTTGTAGATGGTGTCTGAGCTCATTAGAAAAACAAACCATAGCAAAACAAAAACAGAACCCAAACAAACAAAAACCCCCACAAAAAAAAACCAAAAACAATCAGAAACTGGAGCCAGAAGGACAGATTCTAGTTTTTTAGTTGCTAGAGTAAAAGGTAGGGATTTAACAAGTTCTTTGCAAACTCACCTTCCTCTTTCCAACCAGCACTAGCTGCCGGGGAGGTACTTTTGGGCTTTCAGTGTGGCACAGTGAAGTAAAAAAAAGCTATTTTTACTGTCAGCAGCTGCATGATGTACTCTTAACTAATGACAATCTGGCTGGAGCCCAGAACATGTAGCAGCCCCCCTTTCTTTGGATGTTATTTATATTTTACATCCATAATGCAGCCGTGGGTACTCATTCAACATTGATGTTTTAACAGCTGAGGGGTGCTTCCTTTTTCAGACTTGGAACAAAAACAACAAACTTGCCTGCAAAGAGGTGGTTTTTAAGCAAAAGCAGGAATATTTATGTGTATATATGTTAAAAAACATATATTTGTAAATATAGCCATTATAAATATGTATTTTCATAGCCTTCCTCGCTATTGCAAAGTTCATGGAGAATCAGCCTAATTGCCAAAATCCCTACTCTTTCTCTTGGGATCACCACCCCCTCCTTTCCCTGAGGACCATCAACAGTAATTGTATTTCTCTTTTCCATTGCTTTTGAATATATAATGCAAGGTTGCTATAAAAGAGAAAGGCTTGCTCTAAATAGAACCTTTCCATCCTTTCAAAGCCACTGGCATGCTTGATAAGCATCTGTCATTCTGTACAGTAACAATTAGGAAATTAGAGTATTTCCAGGCTTTGGTGAAAGGCACAGTGAAACGTATACCTCTTCTGCTGCATATCTACTGAGCTGCTCCCCTGCCTTGCTACAAATGCAGCATGACAAATAAGAAAGGAAATGATAATATGCCTGCTTGGTGTTGACTTAAACAAATCAAGCACATCAGTCAGTTAAAAACCCAGCTGCCATCAGCCACTTCATCCTCCTTCCCCCAGATTTTGCAGTATTAGATGGAGGCTGCCTTTCTGCGTGGCTGACTCTTTAAAATAGAAGAGAAATGCTAAAGATGTATTTAGCTGAATGTTTTGCAGCACCATGGTTGGCTGGGTATTTGCTTACTGCTGCTTCGCTTTGTTGTTGTTGTGGTACAACTCAGAATTGTGCCTGGATGTGCTTGCGATTCCTCCACCACTTGGCTTGGTTCTAGCAGCTCAGCCAGCTGGCAGGAATGGGCCTATTTTAGGAAGTTTTCCAAAGGTTTTTTTTCCCCTAATTTCTTAAACTTAATAGATATTTCTCCTCATCCCTAGTAAGTCTATGGAGTCTTTGCCCAGAAACATGAGATTTCTTGGTAATTAAAGAGATGTTAAACCCTGGAAGAGTTTCCTAAGCTGCGCAGTGGTGAAACGAAAGCTCAGTGTGTTTAGTGGCCGGGGAGCTGGAGGATAACAGGGGACAGCAGTCAATAACTTAATTTTCTCTTGAATTTAGGTAATGAATGAGATTCAAAAAGAGTTCCTCCCCTACCCCCAATATTGACCTAATCCTGTCAAGAGAAACATGGACGAAAAGGCACTTGGACTCCTTTATTCCAAGACTTTCAGTGTTATTTCAGACAATGTAGAAAGAAACATCAAGAGATGTTTATTAAAATCTGCTGATATAAGTCTCCAAAAAATGACTAGAAGCAAACGTAAACTGAGCTATAGGTCAGGGCTGAAACGAGCCCCAGAAGGCCAGTATTAGATATCAAAGCCTAATCAATCAATCAATACCAATCAATAGTTGCTGTAGCTGTAATCTACTGAGATTGGTAGGCTTCTGATCAGTACAGGTTTGTGGGGTCACTCTGCATTTTGTAGAAGAGATGCGATTTATCCCAGATGAAACTAAAGCTTCTCTTTCACTCTGGCTACACTCACTGAGGAGCACAACTCCAAAATGGGCTCCAAACATCTTGTGCTCTGTATATCCATCTCAGCAGCAAATGGAGGCTTAAAGCTTGGCTGCAGTACATGAGGCAAAACCGCTTAAAAAGCAGCTTAGTCTGCTTGGCTGTCTGTTGTTAGCCCTGTAATATTCCTGCAGAATACCACAAAATAAGTGGGTGTTCTTTATCTGGGTAGCTAAGACCACACAGAAGGGATGTGAATGTGTTTAGGTGTGTGATAAAGGTTACTTACACGTCCAGAGGTTTCAACACACTCCCAGTCTTTAACATTTCCCCTCACACCTCTATGTTAGCACATCCCATACCCAAACACTTAGGCTGTTGGGTTTAGGTCAAAGCACAAGCCTGGGTCCACCAGTCACCCCTCACACGACACCCATCCCCAATGAAGGGTGAAGATACCTTTCTCTAGGCAGCTGGTGGTTAGGATTGTGCCGACACCGGACACTGAGGCCAAAGAGTTTGCGGGCAGTGCGCTGGATCTTCTGGCGCTGGGCTTCCAGGGAGCTCTGCAGCAGCTTGTAGCGGTTCTGCAGATCCCAGTCATTCCCCCAGTGCTGGTGGATGCTCCCAATGGTCAGGAAGTGGTTGCTAGGTAGCCTTTTCATGAAGGATTTAAACTCATCTGGAACACACAAAAATGTGGAGAAATACAAAGGTTTCTGAACTGTAACAAAACTTCAAAGGTTTTCATTAACAGGATGACTTTAGACTGACAGAGGGGAGATTAAGATCAGACATTAGGCAGAAGCTCTTCCCTGTGAGGGTGCTGAAGCGCTGGCACAGGGTGCCCAGAGAAGCTGTGGCTGCCCCATCGCTGGCAGTGTTCAAGGCCAGGTTGGACACAGGGGCTTGGAGCAATCTGCTCTAGTTGAAGGTGTCCCTGCCCGTGGCAGGGGTTGGAGCTGGAGGAGCTTTAAGGTTCCTTCCGATCCAAACCATTCTATGTTTAGCTCACTGGTCTGACATTCTTCCCCAGCAATCCCACTAATTCCATGGCTGTTGCTGCTCCTACATGAGAACCAAAACCCAGAGAGTATTAGAGTGAAACAATTCATTTAATGCATGGAGAAAAAAAAAGGAGAATAAATTCCCTGGGGCATGGGATCATAGTTTAGGGGTTATGAGCAAAAAGCAGGGAGTTGTAATCATTGTCAGTTAAAGAGTTCTCATTTAAGTTGTGTTTTAGCTGCTCCTAAAATGATGTTTGTTACTGAAGTCAAATCACTTTGTGTTAAAATAAGAGGAAAAAAGGGCTTTATAAAAGTCCCCAGAGGAAGGGTTTTGACTGTGTTCCAATGTCCTGCTTCTCATCTTTCAAAAAGAGCATTTGGTTCTTCTTTTCTCATTTACTTCATTTGAAGTTAAATGAGTTGTTTTCTGTAACAATGAAAACAAAATCAAGCAATTTGCAGGACTAAGGTCAGAACTAAATGTGTCAATTTTAGCCAAAGGGAAAAAAATAACTGATCCAAATATTTGTTGTTAAATGTTGGTTTGTGATCACTTTAGTTCTGTTTGCTTTTGTTTGATAACAAAAAACCCCTCACATTATTTTGGGTTTGTTTGAGGTTTTTTCATTACAAAATAGTATATAGAGATGTTGGTTCTGTTCATGACCACCCCTTCCTAACTGAGAAGTAGTGTTTGCTTAGACTCATTATCAGGCTGGAGTATCCTCATATAGAAAAAACAGACAGTTCCAATTTCCTCATCAGAAAATAACCCATTTTTTGACACCAGAAAGCTGTGTTTGACACAAAGAGAACTGGAGAAATGTGATGAGTGGACCAACAAAACACCTGTGAAGTGCAATAAAGGTAAATACAGTTTTGAACCAGGAGAGAAAAATCCCATGCATCAGTATAGGCTTGGAAACAACCAGTTTAATAAGAGCTGCTAGAAAGGTCCTGGGGGTTATGGCTGGCACCATGCTAAAGGTGGGTTAACACTATGTTCTCACTGGAAGCAGCACTGTATACTGGACTAAATCCAGTAGGCTGCAGAAGTTAATATTCCCCTCTTCATGGTATTGCTAAGGCTGCATCTGCATTTCTGTGACAGCTTTGGGGCCACCCAATTAGAGATGGGTGTTGAGAAACTGGGAGGCCACAGCAAAGGACTACTGCGGTGGTCAAGGGCCACAAGTCCTACAAGGTCAGGCAGAAGAAGCTGCGCTTGTTAAATTGGGTAAAGAGGCCAAGGGGCAACCTAATTACAGCCTACAACTGCTTAAAAGTTACTTACACGTATGAAGGAGAGAAACTCTTCTTATAGTTGATATAACAAGAAGCAATAGATTGCAGATTGAGCACTTCAAATGATTTATTGAACAACTTCTTCACTTGGAGGTAATGCAGCACTGGAATGTGCTGCTCAGAAATGTTGAAGAACACTTTAGACTGCTAAACAGAGCCATGGCTGACCTGATCTAGTAGTGCTGATGGTAGTCTTACTTCTGTAAGGAGGTTGAACTATAGCCCTGCTGTACACTCCACAAAGCATCCAACAAGAAATGCAGCCATCTTTTCCTGTACATTATCTACATCATTTTTCTTCCTTTCCTGATCTTTTCTTAAAACTTCTTCATCTCATTTTCAGAAGAGAGGACAATAGCCAGAAAATGAAAGCTTGAAAAGGCTGATACCTTTTCAATAAAGAAAAATAATCCATAGAAGTATTGAGGAAAATTAGACTAGATAATTTACAGTCTATCATACAAAGCTTGTGGATATTTGTCTAACAGATTTCCTATTATTCAGTAACTTGCAGTTCATGCTTAACTGCCTAACAAAGAATATCTCTGTGTTAGTCAGTACCATCATTACATAGATGCTAAATGGATGTTCATGTCATACTCATCACATGGTGAAACTGAGCACCTAATAAAACTAATCACTATCAAGATCCACGGGAGATCTGCTTGTCTCTTTTCTTTCCCCAAGATAATGGAGAGATACTTTGTTTTTAATCATCTCCCAGGTTTTCACTCTCTTTGCAATGCTGCTTTCAATGCCCTTCTCCTCCCGAAAAATGATTCTCTCCTCTTCAGTGGTCTTCTGAAACTATCATCATGTATAATTGCTTCTGTTGACCATGCTGATTACTCGCGGTACATTTCAGCAGTAAAAGTCTTGCATTCACTTCCCCCCCTTATAAATCAATTCCCTCAAAATCCTGTTTGTGCAAAAGACCAAGCTCTTTTTTCCCTCTGATGATGAATGTGCTACATTTTTCATAGAGACGGGTAAGGGAGAAATTTCAGTGCAGTGTGCACATTTTGATACTGCAGTGCAATGCTGGGGGGAAAACAAATGAGCAAAGAAACCTGGCAGAAGAAAAGCTGGATGGGGTTGGTTTTATAAAGAGGGGAGTGAAAAAAGGAAACTACTTTCTACAATGAATAGTTTCTTCATGTCTCCAGAACTCTCTCTGGAGCTATCTCAAGACTATGGCTGCATGGTGCTAAGTCTTGTGCCTTTCTGGGAATAGTTCATTCTTAACCCTGAGACTTCCCAATTAATTAATCCATCTGTTTGCATTTGGGTTTGTTCTAGTTATCTGCTCAGAAAGTGTTGAAGATGGTCAGGACTACATCTCCCATAATCCCATGGCATCTCTTTGTGCTGAGTCACCCTGTCCCTGCAGGCAGTCCCATGGCAATGACTCAGCGTTACAGATGGTACAGGGCAGAGGGTCCAGCCTCTGGAGAGCATCACAGGGAAACGGCCACATCAAACATCTCTTTCAAAAGTGAAACTTCAGTTTCTCCTCTGATTGTCTTTTCAGTTAAAAAAAAAGAATCACTGTTCCATCAGAAAGCAATTAATACTGCAAAAAATGCCAAAACCAAATCCTGACTTTTAATCAAAAGGCTGTTTTAAAACCCAGAATCACAGCCCTGATGCAGAAATTTTTGGCCAGCCATACTAAAATGTCAAGAATAAGGTAGTGTTGTTTTCCTCCATCTACACATGAGCAATGAAGCACAGGACCGAGAGCTCCTAAGCTGATTTAAAGCAGCATCAGTTCACTGCAGCCTTCTTGACTTTGAAGATACCATCCCAAATCACACCACCTCTTGATTTGCCCTGCAGGATTCTTGCAAATTGATAGAGGAATCCAACACAGATCAGAAACAGAATACAGATCTTTCAGGCTATCTGCAGCTTCCTGCACAAATGGCATTTGTTTTCAGAGCACTCACGTGCCTTTCAGCCCACTTTATTGGAAAAGCCTTCAGATGTCATTAGAGATTTCTTTTCTGCTCTTCATAATGAAGAAAATCCTCTAGTTATTGGGAATATTTATTAAAACCAAAGCAGCAAAATACTAATACTAGAGTCTTTTGTGGTAGCCACTTTCATCTCCAAGGATAAGTTCACGCATGATGCAACAAAGTGATGAATGAGATGCAGCAGCTTTAAACATAAAGATAATCACTCCATCTAGCCCTGAAAAGCCTCCAGCCCTGGATGGAAGATGGCTACAGCACAGCAGAGAATTGCATTGCAATGTGTCACTTTAACACAGCAAATGAAAAACACCTTCCCCTGTTTAAATCTCAAGGGGAAGGAGACTGAATATAATTATCTTTGCTTAGATCTAAGTCTTTGCTTAGATGGAGTGCAACAAGTACAGAATGTAACAGTAAAACAATCACTGTGGGTCTGTAAGTCTTCTCTCTTCATAGGGCTCTCCCCTTCTAGGTGTCTGGGTTAGATCCCCTGGGAGTGTAAAGGGGTTTGATGAGTGGTGGCCATGTGTGGCTCTTGAGCATCTTGCATGAAGACCCTGTGCCAGAACTAGCTACTGCCAGGAATCCTAATCTGCATAGTACTGAGCAAGCAGAAGCTTCTGAAAGCATCATTTCTGGTTTACTCTTGGGTACCTACTCCATCCATGGACCTCCCAGAAAACCACTGACCTCTTCCACTAGTGACCTGCTTCTGGAACTGCCCCAGCCTTTTGGATCCCCGTAGTGTAGAGGTGGAACTTGCCAAGACAGCAGTCAGCCTCACGTCATTAACTACTACTCTAACTTTGCTCAGATGAACACCTAGTTGACAGCATGAGCTGGACATAAGGATGTACAACAGCAGGAACACCAGCAGGGTTCACATATCCAAGCATGAAGCAGTCCTCAACAGCCCATTGAGGAAACATCATAGGCCACTTCATTTCAACCATTAAAGGGATTGTGATGACCTTCAACATGAAGAAAGAAATTGCTGCTGGGAGATTTCTGAAGAAGAATTGAAAGGAGCTAGATGGTCCCTTCCTCATAGCTTTCTTTCCTAACATGGAGACCTAGACAGTTATGACCATAATCATTAAAGAAAATGGGTTGGAAAGTAGCTGGCTAACACTAAGAGGTGTGAGCTAGCACAGGGATAAGTTCTCGATTAAGTTCTGCTTAGTGCCCATGTGGCTTCAGGGTAAGGAGACCACTTGCTAAAGAAAAGGCTATAATTGCACAGGTATGGCTGCTCCTCAAACCCTTGAGGATGCTTACTGCCCAACTATTACAACACACCTACAGTGGGTGTTGCCAGCATCAACATGGAACAAACTTCTCTGACACCCCAAGGACACACTGGGAGAAAATGGAGGGAGAAGAGAAACGTTCACATCAGGGGACACTGGCACTGTAGGAGAGAGAAGTAATTTTCCCTTCTCCTCTCTATCTCAAATGAGGTGTCATCTGGCCTGTGCTCTTTCTCTCTGAATTGCCTTTCACCAAAGCAGAATAAATCATTCATGCAAATCTGAAAAGCAATTTCTGCATCATTCATATTGTGGAAGTTTCTCTGTAGAACTATTAAAGAGAGATTCTGAGGTGGTTTGGTATGAAAAATCAGATTTTTAATCAAACAAATTCTTCCACAGAGAGTATCCACTTACACATAGAATTATGTGTGGTGCGTGGTTTTACCTGTGTGTGTAATAGAGAAAAAAGGCACTCCCTCAAGACTAACATCACATTTTTGGGGTCAATACCCTTTACTTTTTTGTCTAAACTGGAGCATTAGATTGAGAGAAGGAAAGATCCTGACCTGGTGTAATCTGACATGCTTTGCTTGAAACATGAGTTATGCTCGATTACCTGAATTCTCCAGATCTTTATAGGCTTCTGTCCAGGTCTTGCCCATGTTTGCTAACGTGTACTCCATGATCTGGATGTCGGTGATGGGGCAGTTGCACTGCGGGAACTCCTCCGCGCACTGGCAGCCGCACTGGCTGTTCCGGCAGATGTACTCCCCTTCGCCATTGCACATGATGTAGCTCAAGGCAGACTGGACAAACTTCTCCTGTAAATACTGAGGGAAGATGATCTGGAGACCTGGCATAGAAACGAGAGGTGGGGATGTGGGAAGAAGAAAAAAAAAGTCATTTCAGGTACCTGTTCTGCTTTCAAAACGTGTTTCATTAACAGCTTGGGAAAGTGATGCTGAGGAATTAAAAGCTGCTGGGATATTTCTCTTGAAGCTGTCACAAGTAAGGAAGGTGGGGTACAAATTGCACGTCTCCAGTGCAAGGAGTGACTTAGCTAGGAGTAAAGCCCATCTGCTCTGTGAGAGAAGGGTGACAAGTAACTCCCCTCTCCCCAGTACCCAGTGTACCCCCTTCATCTCAGTCCTGGCTCCCAGTGTAATACAAAACAGCTGAATGTGAAGCCACCTTTATTCCCAGATGTGGGGGTTTTATACTTTGCAACAAAATGCTAGTTCAGAAGTGATGAGCAGCATTATGCTGTTCTGACCTGTTTTGAGAGAGACTAAACAGGTTTTGTACCACAGAAACAAGGAAACTACACACTGAAGGAGAAAGGAAAATAATACAAGGAGGGATTTAGAAAAGGCCCTTGCAGAGTTAAGTGCCCAGCTCCCAAGGTGTAAATACAGGAGCTGGGTACCTGAGTCTTTTCAGCTTACTCCCTGCTAGGAAGGCTACTTGCCAAATCCTATAAAAGTGCAAATGGATTTAGTGCCAGTGATTTCAGTGGTGTTCTGAAGATTTACATTACTGGAGAGCGCTATCCCCATATCTCTTTCTCCATCTGAGTGTTTGTGTATCCATCCATCTGTGCAGGCATTAGTGTAGGTGGACGCTTGCTCAGGTATCAGAGGACATGATAACAGTTTGAGCGTTTGCCCTGTGTGCAGTGTGCTTGTTTTTCTGGCCTGTACTTTTCCAGTCCCTGTCTGCAGGCTCCCTACAGGTATCCCTGAGGATCCACAGCTGTTTTCTTCTACCCGGTGAGTCCTGTTTGTCAGACTCAGTCAGTGTCTCTGGTGCGTGAGGCAGGGATGACAGTAACTCTGAGAGAGCATTCACAGGAAGCCTGCACCAGTTGTCTTCCTCATAAAAGGCCCAGGGATTTTGGAAGAGCAGATATAGGAATTTATGGCTTGAGCAGCAGCACTGAACTCCGGTGTAAGGAAGGCACGCGGGTCAATTACCCATCTGTTGGTGTTTCTATTGTGCTGAATTATTGTATCTGTTGCTGACAGCTCATTGGAGTGGAATGAAAATAAGACAATAATTCAGAGGATGAGAGTGTACAGGAAGGGCAAAAGGGGCTGTGACTCCTTTCAGGAGTTCAGGCCCATCTCTGTGATGGGTCATGGTCACCCCAAGCAAGAGGAAAGCAGTGGGCTGTGCCCTTGGGACTCCCATTACCCTTTTGTTTTGGTTCCACAGAGGCACCTCAGCCTTGACAAGGAACCTTTGGAAGACCAAGCACAGGGGGGATCAGGAGGCTATTGAAGGCACAGGACCTCTGCTTCCTCTCCACTCCTGCTATTGCCAGGGCACATGGTGATAACAGGAGGCACATGGCAGTACCATGCCTGGTGGCAGCAACTGCCCCCTTGTCTGACCTAATCCGCAGCAGAGCATGGAATGGTGGCAGCCACCAAGCAGAATGAACACAGAACAACCTTCAGCAGATGAAGACATTTGTGACACTTGCAGAGGGGTTTCAAACCCAGAATTTGGAAGCATCACGTGTGCGTAGATCCTGCTCCCTTTTCTGTGGTGTGTGAAAGGGAGGAAGCATGCAAGGGGCTGAACCCTAATCCTCAGCATCCCTGTGAACACCTCAAAACTTGTCAAATAAGATCAGCATTTTGAGGTCATTTGGGCTTTCCTGAGATGTTTCTCAGCAAAAAGCTCAGCTTTCCTCCTGTGGTCTTCAGGAAGCACTGAAGCTCAATCTCTTTTAGGGGTTTATCTGGAGCAACCACCGCACAGGGATGGTCCCTTTTCACACCTTCACACTGATGTTAGGGATGGTCCCACCTGCCAAGCTCCAAGAACTTTCCTTCAGGATGGAAAAAAAAGGGCTGCTGGAGAATGGAGACCTACAAAAGGGGTTTGGAGAGCCTGAAGTCTGCTGTGGTCACTGAGCTTGCAAGCTCGCAAGAAAGGGGGGTTGAACTCCTTGATGTGCATTGATCCTGTTTATTAATGGTCCACGTCCTATGAATAAGTCTTTCCACTCTCTGATTCACAGAGGAGCAACCTGCCCTGGCCTCAGCCTTTGAATATGAAACCCAAATGATCACAGGTTCTTCTGCTCACCCTGTTTTCTCTTTGAATTTTAAACTGACAGGCTGTTTGGTCCCAGCTACAAATGAAAGTGGTTTTCGAGTTAATTGTGTCTTTCCTGGAGTGAATGGGGGTAAAAAAAGGCAACTAAAGTTTCAGTGAAAGCACTGCCAATTACAATGGTCAATGATTGTGTATGTCAGCACATGCAGACCCAGTAACCAAATACACAGTAACCTCCAAAAGATGACACAGGCTCATCCTGCATTACAGAGGCCTCATGCGGATGCTCTTTTTGCCCATAAAACTCGTGGTTTCTAAAGAAACCTTTCCAGGATCTTCTCTTTAAGAAATAATCTCAGATTTAAAAGGCAATCATCCCTGCATACACTTAGCACCAATTCAAAAGAACACTTATATATAAATACTGAACTTTAATCAGGTAAGCAGCTCTGCTGGAACCCAGGCAGCTAATTGTAGCATTTAACAAGCAGCATATATTCAAATATGTGCTTAGAGCAGGAACTAGTGACACACAAATCCAGCTGCTCATCCAGACACAAGTGTGCATACTCCGAAGCGAAAGCCTTAACTTTAACGCTGCACATATGACTCACAGATATTCCAGCCAGGAATTTCTTTGTGGAAGAAATCTTGTTAAGGTTACTGATAAAGGAGCCTCGTGTCAGCAGCCAAGCAGGGGGGCAGCCTTACAGGCTGAGATACTGGGACCATTTTCATGGGATGAACACCTCAGCCCAAGCTGAGGTGCATAAGGAATGGGCTCAGGAGCTGATAAGCGATGCAGAAGGTAGGTGTGCTGGTGACAAGTGTTAAGGTAACATTGATCAGAAGGAGGAATTCTGCCACCGTGTATAGCATGAAGTTCCCCTTTAAAAATTAAGAGCAGCACAGATTTGATATAAGTTTTCCTTAGATAACTACAGGCAGAACATGAAGTGTCTCACAAGGGGATGTGTCCTTAATTCACCTAGAAAAACTATTAGAGAGAGATGTTTGCCTTTGGACTGTGTATAAAAGGCTTCCTGCATTAAAAGAGGTAAATTTCCCCAGCTCTAAATTGGAGCTATTTGAAACATTTTCCACAGAAGAGTTCTCTGTTGAAAATGCAGTTTCATTGAAGCATTTGGTGAGAGCATGTTGACTCCAAAAGCACTCTTGACAGCGAAAGGTCTAAATGTATTTCTTTTCTACTTCCTCATTTTGTTTCACTGAAAAGCTGGACTGTTTTGTGTTGTCATTACTGCTCTGCTCATCTTGGCAAAGGCTTTAGTATTAATTGTAATGCAAATCTTAATATTCTATTACCACATTTGATGTAACTGCCTAATATGCACTATTTCCTGTTTAATGTCAGAATCTTTGGAATAGCACAGAAGGATTTTACCTTGTTGAAATAGTGCCATGTTGCAATATTGACATATGCTGTCACAGTGTCCAAGAGGATACACCTCTGGAATTTTAATTTTCCCAAACTTTTCAAAGTGATGCATTTTTTTTTTTTTCTACTCAAATGTTCAAATTTCAGCCTAGGACACTCTTCCAGGGAACAAACTCCTGTTTCCCACTAGACCACTGCAGAGCTGTTAGCATCGTCCCCTGCTATGCTCTGATTTACTCCTTTCCCAGGCAGCTCGTGCATCAGCAACGCTGGAAGCAGGGACAGAGGGATACAAAGTGCAAGGAAGTGCAGTCACCTGGGAGATACTGGCCCACCACAGGATCCCCCCCATCCCTTTCAGAGAAGCTGCATCACCACACAGCCCTCCTTACGTACGGGATAGGGAACCTGCCTCCAGGTAAGAAAAAGGGAAACCTAAGCTACTGTGATATGTACTATGTGATATTTATACTGTGATGCACCTGTATATATACTCCAAACACAGATGCAGATACATGCTGCGTCTGTGTGGATACTGGTTTATAAATTAGTGATGCTTTTCAGTCTGTGTAACCATAGGTGCAGAACCAGACACCCTGCACTGTGCAAACACCCAGGTCCTCCCTCAGAATCTCCAGGCTGGCTGACCTTCTGAGCCCTACGTGCAGCAGGAAGGTAGCTTAGCTCTGGGTCTGGCCATTGCATCTCCTAAAGGGCACATCTTTGAAGCCACAGCTCTCAGGGCTGGGCAGCAGCAAGTGCAGAAACAGAAATTCTCCCTGTCACAAAGAAGCTGCTCTTTTATTGAGCCAGCCTCAGAGCTGGAGTGACATGAAGGTAGAAACATGGATTTCTGTTAGCAGCTTATGCTCAGCTGCTAATCAGATCAGAGGAGACTCGGTCACGATCCATTACCTGCAGCCTTGTGACTAATTCCTAATGAGGCCTCTCAGAGCAGAGGAAGGATCCTGGGTAATTATCCCAAGAACCACACTTCAGATTAGGTGGAAAACTCAGGTGTAGCTTTAAAGGTCATTTTGTTCTATTAGGAGGAGTTCTTACTTACTTTCCTCCCTGTATACCTTGGCTGGGTCTGGTCTCTCTTCACTGGATTATGCAACGTGTGGTTGACCCCTGAGGTCTCTGTCTACTCCCATCAGAAATCACAGCCTCATCTACCTTACATACCTCATCTCCTAATTTTTCCCTCTTCCTCCACCTCCTTCCCCCTCTCAGGCACCTTGCTTTTTCTCTTCTTTTGTAGAGTCAAATAGCCGATAGGGATGTATTGATTCACCTACTTATCACTTTGTCTGCCTATAAACCCAGCTGTCTGCTTATTTAACTGTTTACCTAGTTATCTGATGTGTCATGCTCCAGTTTTCATTACCAGCAGCCATCATTGCAGTATATAAAAAGCCTCAAATCACTTATTGTTAATTAGGTAAGAACCAGAACTCAATGATTTAGATAATCACAGGAATAGTGAAAACAACCTGCCTATTATTTTTAAAGGAGAATAACAACAACAACAACAATATATCCACAACATGACTCAGTAAATGAAACCCACTTTCTGTGCAACCAAGATTAAAACAGCACTTGCCAAATTATACTCTAAGCGGAAGATGTAATGTAGCCCATTCATCTGAAAAATTAAAATTGGTGCAAGTACAAGGATTCCAGAAATAAAACCAGATGGGCAAACGAGCAATTAAATCCCACATTTCCTTATTTTGTCAAAAAATTTAGGAATAACCTTAGTAAATTACACACCCAGTGAATTTTCTCATTCTGCTGAAGTTGACTTCTTGCTAACCAGCATGTATGTATGTATTAATTCAGTCATGACCTCTATCTGTTGACTTCTGGACCAGCTCCCCAACTGGGACTGAAGCCATGGCTTCTAGCATCCAAATAAAACCTCTATGACTTTTCCAAAAGATTATGGTCATTAGAGAGTCCCAAAAGCTGATCTGCAAACCTCTCACGTGAATCAGCAATTTGGGAGGGACAGAGAGAGATGGGGTAGAGTGCCCCTTCAGCATTAAAGGAAAAGGTCACATGTATTTATATTGGTGTATGTATTATATGCATAAGTCCATCAAAATTGAATGACAAAAGGCACTTCAATAGGTCCAGCCTGCAGTTCTTTGTGCCTGTAGCTCAGTCCCTGTCAAGCTCTGGCTTTGCTGCGCTGAGCATCAGATGAAGCCACCAGTCTTGCTTCAAGGAACTTACAGTGAAGGCAGCAATCACAGCAGAGGAGTTGAAAATGCTATTCAAAAAGGTTTCTCCCCCCACTCTAATTTCATCCCCCATTCCATCCCTATATCCATCTCCCTTATTCCTGTGCCCTACCTTGCAGGTGGAGTTTGCTCTCAGTGCTTTGCAGAAGGACAGAACTCACAGAGTCCAGATTGTCGTAGCTGTTACAGCCCAGGGGGCCAGTCCGAGTTTCTGTTACCTACGGAGGATGTAGAAAACAGAGAGTGTTCCCTTTGACTGCAGCACCACATCTTCCCTAGGCAGTTTCAGACCTTGTAATACAGTGACTCCTTATCAGCAACTGATGCAATCCAAAATACATCTCCCCTAACACAGAAAAGAAACCGCCCCACATTGGACAGACACAGCTCATGTTTGGCTCACTCAAAAGTGAAAACAGAGCAAACTGTGTCTGCTTTCTTTATGGTACTGCATATTATTCTGGGCTTGGCAATGAGGGCCTGCAGATTGATGTTTCTCACAGAGGATCTCCACTGGAGAACATCAGAAGCCAGTAGAGGAATTATTCCCTGGCTTCTCTTATTGGAAAGCAAGATACAGAGATGGATTTCCAGCCCACTACAGTGCCTAGTGCTCCCAACAACGTATTTGCACACCATCCTTGTGCTGAGGATTGATGGAGGCACAGATGACCTGCGGTGCTGTTGCTGTTGGTTTCCAGACACGGAGGAGAGCTGCCCTTCCTGAATTCACAAAGGATGATTATCTACTGTCACTGTTTCAATATCTCAATACAATCTCCCACCCAAAAGGGAACACACTCAGCCATGAGACACCACAGAGCTGAAACCTTTCAGAAATGGCTAACAATGATGACTCCATCCATATCTCCTTCCCTGGAGTGAACTCTGCAACAGTAAAATCCCTCCCCAGTATAGGATGATTGCTTTCAGAGAAGGCAGCCTTTGTCTGCAGAGCTATTTTCCCTATTTCGTATGCTCTGAGCAGCTTCCCTTCGGTCCTGCTGTAACCCTCAAGCTGTCTCAGCCCGTTCCGTTCAGTAATGCCACACTGAGTTTTTCATCTTTTCTTGTAGTAAATTCACCTGAGAGATGTTCACCAGTCTTACACCCGCAAGATGAGAATACTCCTGGGTTGGATGTGGTTGCCCCTTTCACAGACCTGCCTTTTCCTTCCAAGCTCCATCTCTGATCTGGATTAGCTGTTCCCTCTCTCCCTTCTAGAGGTCGCCACCACACATAGTGGAAGTTTCCTATCCTACACAACTATCACACTGAATACCCCCTCCTCTTTCCAGTTATTACTCACCCCAGGGAAATAAATTCTTCAGTAAGGTCAATAAGAGAACAATTTACCCAGGAACTCAGCGCAAGAACAAAACAACTTGTGATCAAAAAAGACATCACACTGGACTAGCAAAGTCCTGCCCAAATCCCTACAGTATTCGTATGGGCACACAATCTTCTTTCTTTTCCCAAGGCAGGAGACAATACCTTGATTGCTCCGGTAGAGATCTGGATCTCGTGGAGTCTCCTCATGGTGCCATCACGGTCTACAAAGTAGGAGGAAGCAAGCTGGTGCAACGCTTCAACGCTCTGGGTAGCATTTCCTGACTTTCTGTCGAGGCGGCTTTTGTCCATGTACATGGTCAAGGCCTCCTCTCCTGCAGCAGAAAGAAAAGGAGGAGATTTCAGGCTGCTGTGGAGGTTCAGCTGAACAGGAACATGTGGCACCTAGAGAAAGAAAAGTCCAACACCTAAAGCACTTTTAAATGCATCCACCTTTCCTCACCAGTACCAGAACTTCACTGTAGTTAGTATACAAGACCTTTCTTCTCTATTCATCCAGAAAAGCCAGGACTACCACACTTGTAGATCAGCTCCACTGAATCGAGTAGATAACATTGTGGATGTTTATTAGCTAGCATAGCTTTACTACAACTGCTGGAAAGGATTCAGAGCACTTGTCCCTCTTTAGGAATGCTTTTCTCTGTGGGCAGCACACCTAGAATCATGCACACTCAATGGGAGAAGACCAATTTTATGCAGGTGTCTCTGACCTGATATCTGGAAGGATTTACTAATGATTTAAGTTGGCACTAGGACACAGTTATGTAGGTGGGTATAGAGGATAAACGCTAGATGCAACTCTTCAGCTTCCAGTGAGCATGTGAAAGGATGAGGGCAAGGAAGTGAGTGAAGGGGAGCAATCAGAAGAAAGAACAAATAAGAAAGCTAATTTAAAACAACCACCGTTTCTGCTTTTCTTCCTCTCCTAGAGTCTCATTCAGGGAATTTCAGTGGAGAATGAAGAGTATTCTATGAGGTAAGGGACAAGAGGTGATTTTGAACCAGTAACCATGGAGTTGTTGTGGGAGTGAAACAGCTAATACCAAAGAGCCCCAACCATCCTAAACATCAGCAGAAGCCTGAATGTAACAAGAGAGATAAGAAAAGGACATAAAGCTGAGAAGCAATATTTAGCCAAAAGTTCATTCTGTGCTGGATGAGCCAGACTAAAATCCAGCTCATCCTTAACATAAGGCTGGCACTATAGGAGGCGTAAAAGAGTAGAAACCTATCCTGCACCCTTAACATGCGACTTTGATTTTAACAAAGACAATAGACACCCACGGTAGAAATGTGCCATTTCTACATAGCTCTCTTAATGAGAGGAATGACACTTGTTCTCATTTGATAGATGAACCACTGATGAATACATCGCCCCTGGCAATGATAGCATGGTCAAGGAGGAAAATAATGTTCTACCACTTTCTCAGCCAAGAAATGTTTTGCTCTTCAGCATTTTTGCATATTGTGTTTTTTTTAGAGAGCAAGCACTTTTCTTCAAAATTCTTATTAGCTGAAGTAGTTTGATTTGTCCAAATAATTTCTTTTATTGCATACATGCAAAAAATCCCCCCCCCCCCCCCCGTTTTTTTTTCCCTGGATACTTTCCAGCTTTCATCTGGAAGCCAAATGCCTGAAAATAAACCCAAAATATTCTGGCTGAAAATCAAAATATTTCTTATTGGATTTCAGTTTTTTTTTCAAGCTATTGATATGCTGAGGATTGAGCCTTTGGCTTTAAGATGAAAAATGAACTTTTTTTTGGTGGAAAGAAGGTAGTTTTCTTCAAAAGAATCGATCAGTTGAAATCTTTTAATTGGCTTCACAGGAGCTAAAGTGGCGAAGTTTGGCATGGAAAACTTTCTCTCTTTAATATTTTCTTTAGAATAACATCATATCCTTTGCCCACGATCAAAGCTGTTGTAGTAACAGCATCCTCATTGTTACCTCTCACAAATACACTTTCCCTGGAAAATGAGCTGCTTTGATTCCTTTATCACCGTTATCATCATTGTAGATTGAACAGCATGAGGAGGCCTTGGCAGGGATCAAGGCTCTGTCACATCAGGTTCTAGCCACACACAGCAGAAAGATAGATCCTGTCCCAGAGTATTTAAACTCCACACATCTGAGGAGACAACAGCTGTATACAACAGACAGGCAGCAAAGCACAAGGCAATAAGATGACTGTGATTAGCACAAGAAACAGCGGTCACCACACACCAGATGCCCAGCCCCTGTTGATGTGTTGTCAGGTTTCAGCTTTGAGGTGACTTTTACAGGAGGATTTGAGGGAAGGTCAGACTTTGTGAATCTGCATGAGAAAACTTGTTTGCCACCAAAAGGAAGCCTGAATAGGAGTTAGCTAAGAGGCTTGAGGAAAGATAGGCTGATTTTGTGTGAACGAGCCCAAAGTTTTGTATCTTGCATGTAACAGAAGCATTTAACAGCGTGGAGATGCAGCAGACATAAATGATGCTTTGTCACCTCTTTGTAAGGCTGTGACAGGAGAGAGAAGACCTGGATAATCCCCCCCTAGCTGCAATTCTCAGAGGAACCTCTTGGATCCAGGCAACGACTCTAATCCCACCAGTAAATGGAAAATACCAGATTTCTCTGGAAAATTGTCACACCTTTGTTAATAGTCAAGGCACAAAAATCAGAAGCTTTTCACTCCAGACTAGTTCATTTTAGCTAGAAGAATGTTGGGATTGGAGGTGCCTTGAACAGAGCAACCAAGAATCCTGCATTGAATCGCATTAGGCAACACCACTGGTTTCAGATCACCAGGAAATCCACCTGCTTTCTGTCCCTAGACAACACAAAACAAGCAATGAGCAACTGAAACAGCTCCTGACCCCAGAGAGGATAAATCTGTGCTCTAGGGCAGTGCAGATCAGTGATTTCCCCACAAAAAAACTGTCATTTTATCCCCTCTCTGAGGTGTTTGGACCCTTCCAGTGAGAGTAAGAGGAAGAAAGCAGGAAAACAAAGACTATAAGGTTTGATGCTTTTCCTGAGGGACAAATAATGCCCCTAGGAGTGAAGGGTGCTGACCAGAAATACCATTGCTGGAAACCTATTCCACGTGCATGTGTGCAGATGTGGAAAAGCACAGCATCCCCATGGAGCATGTGCATGAGAAAGCAGCACTCTAGATCAAGAGAGGTTAACAGATTTTTGCTGCATTATTAAGTCTTAATTTCTCATTTATTAAGCAGATGCTATGTTCAAAGTTGCCTTTCCTTTAGGGCTTTCCCTGCAAATTGCCTCTCAGCTCTGTGTGCTTCCTCCCAGAGCATGGGTGCCCTCAAAATGACCCTTCACCAATTCCTTTGTCAGAACTAAACTGGAGCAGAGCTGGGTTTTATTGGACCCAAGGGGGATGTGACTGCTTTGTAGGCTGAAAGGCGTCAGAGCTGTTCCTCATGTGGCCAGGTGTGAAAATAGCTGCTGGATTGAGGTGGGCTGGCCTGATCCATCACCCAGCCTCCTGGGGACCATGAAACAGCTGGCATTTAAAAGCAGAACAATTTCCTGTGTGCTTGTCACTCCTTTGCAACCTAATAAGACATCAGGTAAATTACAAACCACTGTAATCCAAAGCAGAATCATTGTTACTCTTCTGAGGAGCCATAAAGTCTTGGGAGAACAAGGGTGCCGGGACATGCCTGGTTTTATATCCCGGTGGTGGTGTTTAGCCCACAGCCTGTGATAAGAATGTGTCCTCCTTGCATAATGCATGCCCAGCTTCATCTACATTTTCTTTGGGACTGCCATTGCCCAGATAAATCCTTCTTCCCTCCCCTCCCATTGCTCACCATGCTCTGGGCTGATGGAGCGTTTAGCACTCCTCTCCACCACCAGTTCTCGTTACAAGCCCCTGCATATTTAAAAGTGTTGTGTTGTAAAACTCAGGAGAAGAAACAAACCCCCGTGAATAATTCACAACCTCAGCCAGGCAAAATTAAAAATATATTTCACTATCAAAGGTCTTCTTTTAGATTTCCATGGATGCGAGTGGCAAGAAAAAGGAATGCGATGGAAAGAATGGCAAACCCACAAAACCACTCTCAATGCTTTACTGGAGTCTTTACTTGGCTGGCTCTTGTAAAATATGGTCCTGAAAAGTGATTTCCTCAATAAAAAGCAGTTTATCTTTATGTAGACTTCATTAAGGCCTGATGCAGGCAGTCACTTGTACCCTTCAGTGCATGGAAACCTGCTTTCTCTCACATTTCTTACAGATGGAGGGATGTTTTGACTGCCTGGGCTGCAAAAGCAGCCCGAGGACCTTTGAAGGACGTTTGCCACATGAGAGGCCATTTGACTTCAGTGGAGCTGCGCCAATCTACCCACCACCTAATTTGTGCATGAATCATATGCACACATCTAATCTCATCTCCGTCTCACCCCAGTGTCTGCAAAATGCTTTGGGAACAGACAGATGGCCAGAAATCCCTCAAAGTTCACTGCAAACTTCGCAAAGTGGCAAGGCTGGGAGTCAGGTACATTAGAAGAAGCCGCAGCAACAAAGTGTACTAAAACTAAGACCCTTCTGCACTGCAGAATCCCTCTTAACAGACAGCAGTTCTCAAAAGAAAAGCATTTAAATACACACCCCAAAGGGGTAAAGAATGGCAAAAATAACACAAGAGATAAAGAAAAATCAGCAGCAACTATCAAGGAGCTGCTATTTTTCACCCAGTTTTCAATACTCAGTACTTGAAATGTTCGTGCAGCACCCATAGCAGTGCACACTCATGGGTTAACGGCCCTACAGCGCTGTATCTTATGTCATCACTGACATATTCCACTTGCACACACAAGCCTCTCTGCAGTCCTTGCACATACACTGAGTTTTACTCAACTATTGTTTTTTCAAGAGCCTACCCCACATTACTGTGCTCACTTATGTATTCAGCACAGGCCTTTCTGGCTGCACACATTCCCTGCCCAACTCCTTGAACTCCCTCTTCCTGGAGCTGTTTAAAATTCCTCCAGTTCCAGCAAGAAAAGATGATTTTCCCCCTAAATTTGGGTTCATTCTGGAAAGAAAAAGGAGAGGGATCACACATCCTATTGTCAAATGAAGGACAGAGGAGCAGGAATGACAGACAGGCTTCGCAGCTAAATGAAGCATGTTTATCTTGACACACACCGGTACACACACACTGTTGTCAGAGGAGCACCAGTGCACACGTAGCACAGATGCTGAATGCACACACATCACATTGTGAATTCATTTGCAAAGGCTATTTCTACTCCAGGGATGCTCCCACCATGGGACAGGCTTCAGCTGGTGGAGCTGCATCCTGGCTCCATGCTACCAACCATCCTCCAAGGTGCTTTGTAGGTGCTGCCCAATGCCTTCACCCCCCCACCACCCGTGTGAGGAAGCCGCCCAGGTTGCCACCTACCTCCCAGGGTGGCAGAGATGAGGATGTGGGTGCCGTACTTTTTGATGATGGTATCGATGAACTGCTGCGTGGTGGGTCTCCTGCCCAGGAGGCGGATGCTCCTCTGAAACTCAGGCATCAGGGGCAGTGGATTGTGGAGCAGGTCCCTCCGCTCGATGGCTGTGTTCCTCACCTTCCAACGGGCAAACTCCCTATGCGACAACATAGGAACACAACAGGGGTGAGGCTCTGAGTCTGGAGGGGAAGGGAGAGCCACCGGGGGCAGGAAAGGAGGGAGAAAGGGACAATCCTGTTGAACATCCCCGCATGGACACACACATGGCTAGACAAAGAGAAAGGGTGAGGAGAAGGAGAAAGGAGAGACATTACTGCACAATGACAATACACTTTAAGGATCAGGGTCTGGGCTGATGAGGAGGTAGCCTCAGAGTTTGCAGAGATGTGTGGAAAAGGGCTGCATTTCCCTTCCAGCAAAGGAAGTAGGCTGGCCCTATCATCCACACTCACTTTGAGGTCTTAAACCTCTCCATAAAGCAGTAAATCCTAGTTTGGGTCAGAAAAGCTTATCAGTTAGACTGCAGATCTAGCCCAATCTGATCATTGCTATACTCCTGTGTCCACAAGCCTTCGTGGCATGCTTTTGCAAAGCAAAGCTGAAGGAAACGCTTTCTCTAAGCATCTTAATCTTTCAGCACCAGGAGTACAGCAAAAGATCATTCAGAAATACAGCCTAAAAGGATCAATTCAGATATAAGCAGAGGCCAGGATGAAAATTGAGGTTTTGGTTTTCTTCCTTTCCTTTTGTAAATCAAATAAAGTGATTTTCAAATCCCTCCTTTTAAACTGAGAGTTACTAGGGGGCAAAAAGTGATGCTTGCAAAAGCAGCTCTTTATTGCAGGTATCCATTCTGAAACAACACAGAGGGAAATGCCTAGAGAAAACCTTGCACATCTGCGATCTGAAAGACAGGCCTCAAACATTACCAGCTGAGCACCTAAAAGGTGAGAAGCCTGTTAATGTCATTTGAAAACTATTGAGCAAGGCCTTCTTAAAAGGCAAGGATATTATTTATAACTCCCCTCCTGCAATGCACCTGCTCTATCTTAAGCTCTCTGCCAAATAATCAAGTCACAAGCTTCTCTGTCACTTTTCATTCACTTATTCCTGTAGCTCGGGTTTAAGACAAAGCTTTAAGTCGTAGATGTTGGGGTTTAACCCCAGCTGGCAACTGAGCCCCACATAGTCACTTGCTCACTGCCCCTTCAGTGGGAGGGGGGGAAAGAATCAGAAGAATAAAAGCGAGAAAACTCATGGGTTGAGATAAAGACAGAGTAGAAGCAAAGCAAGCCAAGGAATCCATTCACACTTCCCATAGTCAGGCAGGTGCTCAACATCCCCAGGACACCAGGGCTCTACCATATGTAACAGTGACTTGGGAAGACAAACACCATCACTCCCAACATCCCCCCTTTCTCCTTCTTCCCCAGCTCTATACGCTGAGCATGATTCCATATGGTCTGGGATACCCTTTTGGTCATTTGGGATCAGCTGTCCTGGCTGCATGTCATCGTCCCCCCCAACCCCTTGTGCCCCCCCCAGCTGCCTGATGGGATGCGAGGAGCAGAGCAGCGCTGTGTGAATGGCTGTGCAAGCGCTGCTCAGCAGGAGCCCAACAGCCCGGGGCTGGCAACGCTGATTCCATAGGAACCAAAACATCCCGGGGTTGGCACCAGTTCTCAGCACAAACATCGCTGGATTGGCAATTTTGTTTCCAGCACCATCGCCCCATACTGGCTACTATGGGAAAATGAACTCTATCCCAGTGTTAGAGAAGAAATTAGATTAACTATTCTCTCCAAATAGTCCTGTTTAGCATTAGTAGCTTAACATTAGCAGCTGAAGTAGCTGAAGACTTCAGCTGCACAAGCTGACGGAGAGTAAACTATGAGGAAATTAATGCTGCTTACACAGAACCAGCTGGATTTAGCAGATACAAGTGGGATAAAGAAGGCAAGGACCGAGGAAACAATTCCAAGAGAACAAAGTACCTTCAGAAGAAGGCTAGCCCATAAGAAAATGAGAGACAACCGACCAATATTACGTGGCTGGACTTGGGGAGGGTGCTGGTGGTACAGGTATGAGAGGCATGAGTTGGAGTAGAGGTCCCTCTTCAGAGGCACCCAGCTCAAGCTGTAACCTAAGAATTAATAAAAAACTAACTGGAAACCTTCACTTGGACTTGGTATTCTCAGTGGGATCCTATTGCCCAACCCTGTTTTGGTGCTGTGTGTTAATCCATGACACCCAGTCTGACCCATTTCAATAGGATTGACAATACCTTGCATTTCTGATCAAATTGTGTCACCCGGCACCAGCAATCCCAGTTTGTAGGTAGAGAACCTGGTAAGCAGGCAGATTTAGAAGATGTTTTAAGTTACAAAGCCAGGATCCCAAAACAGATCTTTTTCTCCCCAGGTTGATCCTACTTTGTGTGCATCAGGTTGTTTTACTTAATGCAGTTATGCATGTATTTAGATTGCACCCATCACAACACCCCAGGCTGCCCAGCAGTAGCTGCATTCATTAAAATAGGAAAATGCCAGCTTGTTACTTAAATATGTCTTTACACCTGAGCTAAAGCCCCCTCTGTAGCTTCCAGGCTTTCGTAAGGCAAGTAAAAATGCCAAAACAAAGCACCCTTCTTTCCTCATCCAAAGAGCCATTAGTGTCAAACCTTGAAATCCACAGAAACACTGGTCTTAGCTAAAAAAAAAATAATCAAAAAAGGCCAAAAAACCCACCCAAAAATAACCTTTACACCAGGATCTTACTACAAGGAGTGGAGAAAACAGACCATTGGCTCCAAAGTTGTCTGCAGGTAATCAGTACATCACTAATGTGTTCACTGTATGGAGTAGAACATAGGGAGTTTCATCTGCTATCCCAGAATAGTGTCCAATCCCAGTATTTAGAATGTGTGGAAGGGATATGTTTGGGGTCCCACACTTGATTTTTGAGACAGATAAAACCTTAAAAGTAAAGATAAATAGCTTCTGTCTGACAGTACAGAGAGAGGTTGCTCTTATTCCCAATTTGTGTTGCAATCCCAGATCTAACTATACAAAGAAATCCTCTTCGCATAAGGAAGGAGTGGTCTGGGAAGAGGTATATCTGAGTGCTGAAAGACAGGCAAGGTTTATAATAAATACAGATTCCCATGTTCCTATCATAAAGATTATCACTAGCAAACATAGGAAAAATGCCATCTGTGCTTCTCTGCAAAGAGACAATTATTGCTTCCTGTAAAACAGGAAAGCAGTGAACAATGAAGATGGGAGAAGGTAGGAATAGAGACTGGAAACATGGTAAATGGTGTATTCAAAGGGGAAGTGGGTTCATTTTTTACATGAGGTCCAACAGCATCTGATTATACCACTGGCAGGAGGAAAAAAGGAGGAGTTCAAAAGAAATCATTGCCGTATCTTCAGCCTTGCCTGGTGCCAGGAGACAATTCCAGTCCCTGTTCATGCAGAAGAGAAGCCTTTAGCAGAATCCACATCTAAACCAACTTTTGCTCCCCCTTACTTCCTACGTATGTCACCCCTCCCTGGGGCTTCCTGCTCCTAGGGCATATCACTGAGGTGAAAGCCCAGTTCTGCTATACTTTCCTAACGTTTGGATGTGTGGCTTTCATAGCTGATGAGAAAAGCTGAGCAAATACGTTATGATGAATAATTTATGCAACTAACTTAGATGTTTATCTTCTGCTCATAGAATATCCATGAGCCAGTTGCCATTACCTATAATTTATGTATTATTTGAATTTATTTAGTGATATTTTCCAAGCTTTTTTCCAAGGTTTTGCATAACATTTGGCTGTATCCTTTCTTTGGTTGGGATTGCTCAGGCAAACGATCTGGTATTGTGGAGCTTCCTGATCAATGACCAAAAATACACTTTAAGCTTGGCTTCCCCAGTTCCAGAGGACTGTATATTGAAAGCAAGCCTTTAATATTAGCAATCTTCCACACAACCTATAGAACTCTGTGCTGGAATATGCACCTGAGGTCAAGATAGTGGTAGAGAGTGGCAGAAAATAGACAACATTAATAGATACGTCTAGTGAAATTACTTAGCATTACTGAGGTGGTAAAAAAGGTGAAGTATATTTGCAGTGAACTGTATAGCTCTGACCTTTGGAATGATCCAACCTGTAACTCCTGAAGTCTGTGATAAAACACCTCCAAGAACAGGTTTTCTATTAGCTTGCAATGCGGGACTGAATTGCATTTCCTGCAGAAGCAGCTTCTATTGGCCCAAACTGAGTTCATGGCACTGGCAAGTGCACTCTTATTTGTCTCCACTGATTCCTTCAATCTGGGAATCTTTGGATGATTTACCAAGGCCTTGGATTCAGGGATGTTGTGTCTAGAAAGGCATTGAAATCTTTCCTCTCAGAAATCACTCTCAGACCCCATTTCACTGTCATTGCTTCTCAGTGCCATCAGGGACACCACGGTCTTGATGCCACTGCCTGGGAAGCACAGGTGAAGCCTCTACAGGTCTCAAGGCACTTATAAAGACAAATAGTGCACTGTTGCTCATTTTCCCGGTGAAGAAGTTGCCAAACTTGACCAGGATTATGATGGCACTCCATGATACAGTTAAGATTAGAACAGTCTCCTGACCCTCAGGGGAAACCCCCAACAAGGACCTGAATGTCTGCCAGTGGGGAAGCTTTTAAGGGCTTTGGAGAGATGATAAACCTCTTAGCAAGGAGGAGGAAGAGTGTGTATCTCTGATGCAGAGATGGGATAAGGAGAAACTATGACCTAACGTCTGAATAGTGGGGGGAGAGGCAGTTGTTTATGCTCTAATGTCTCGCCAGTGTAGACAGCCCATACTAATGTGGAGTGTGCCCAGGCAAATGCATTCCAGGTCAGCAGAGGAGAGTCTGCTCTCTTCTGGTGAAAGCACTGAAGAGTCGACTCTTCTAATGGCTGGAAAGGGTAGGTGGTGCTAATGCCAAAAGAGGGAAAGGAGAGGAAATATAAGGATGAAGTACTGCCTCAGGAAATGCGTATTTCAGCCCTTCCTCCCTGTAACAGTAAGGGGATGGTTTATTTGTATATGGCTATAGCTGAGAAAATGCTTGCCCCTTCATAGTTTGCATCAAGGCCATACACATCA